CAATGAAACTATCTATAAGTGGAAGGGTCAACGGACCAAGCACAACTCCATCCTCTCACCAGATACCATTGAACTAGCAAATCGAGCTGCTAGAAAATCGGTATCCAAGTAAGCATTTATTTTATTTTCTATTGTGCAAGATCTTTTTTCCATTCGAAGGTTTGGTTATTTTATGTAAAAATGTGGTAACGAATATTTTTCAGGTCATCCATAGAAGTTCTTGATAGCAGTAATTGTTCAGCATTACCAGGTTTGCTCATTGTTTATTGCTGACTTTATAACGATTTCGATTTTCGCAAAAAATTCAAAACCGGCGATATAATAATTCTATTTTAAATTTCTTTCAATTGTAATTGATGAGTGATGGTCTTATGAGGGTCATTCTAATTCTGTGATATATAAGAAGTTTACTGTTGCCGCTGTTAGTGCTTATCTAGAAAATTAGCGGCATCTTACCAGTTTTAGATTATTCCGAACATTTGCTGTCAACGGACGATCCTGAGATATTGAGTGCCTCTCCGCGAAGACTCGATAAAAGATATGCTGTATGTAAAGAAATGCTTGAGACGGAGGAAAATTATCTAAGAGCATTGAAAATTATTGTACAGGTATCTGTCTTCACCTTTATTACAACTACAAGTAAATGCAGTAGCCAAAGACTTGAACTGCGCATATTATTTGGAATCGACTTAATGAAAATTTTCATTAAGTTTTTTTACTACTGACAAGAATCCATATTGTGGAATGATGATATGATTTGGATATAATTATTTTTTTTTTTACCAAACTTACAGATTTAGGTAGCTAATTGTACGAATTTGAGCGAAAATGTTTGCAGGTTTGGCTAATAATCTTCCAATTCTCTCAAACACGACACTTTTTCGAACTACTTTTTATTTCTAGCTTTTTCTGATGCTTCAGAAACAAAATTTTGTTTTTTCGAATTATTTTAAGTAATACTGCAGGTGTTCAAAGAACCCCTTGAAGCTCAGTTACCGAATCTGGATAGTGGCCTTCTCACAAAAGCTGAAATAAGTCAAATATTCGCCAAAGTGCCTCCATTAATCGATGTTCACGAGAATATTTGTCGCACACTTCAGAGCTATATAATGCACTGGATGAATGAACGCTTGATTGGAAAGGTTTAATTTTTTTCACTTTGTTTTATTGCTTTTTACTCTAGATTGTCCCGTCAATGATCTGGATAACGCAACAGAGGAATTAATACTGACTTGTCAGTGCCACTTATCAGTACCAATGTTCAATGAGGTTTGTAACTAAAATTTTACAATCCTTGGAAAGGAAACGAGCATAAGAGACCAATGAAAATTTCTAGTTTATTCAATATTTCTTACTGCTATTACTGCATACCACTCTCAATTTGAATTATAGATAGCATGGTAATAGCATAAGAAATGCTGAATGAATTAGAAATTTTATTGATGATAATGGTTTAATCAGGAGTAAAAGTATGAAGTATTAATGGTACAAAGCACCTTAAATTTTCAGAGGTAAAGAATTCATGATTTTTATTTCTCCATTTTAGAATTCAAGGCTGTTCCATGCAATATTATGGAGAAATGTAGCAGTAATAAGATAGTTGAAATAATTTTTCGAATACTTGTGCTAAACCTATCCTTATTGCTCGTAGACGTCCATCTCTCTTCATAGGTCTGGCTGGATCATGCCGCTGAATTGACGCCAGTTTATAAAGCATTCATCAATAATTATGATACAGCTATTCAGACATTGAATGAATGCGATCAGACTAAACCAAAATTTCATGCATTTTTAAAGGTAATTACAATAGTTATACTGAGGTTCACAATAAACACTTCTCAATATTGATTTCAGTTAGTTCTTGGATCATACAAAATCCTGAGATAGAAATAAATAGGAGGATGTATTGTTATAAGTCTCGCATACTTATATCAAATAAACAAAAATACCAGATTTGTTTCTCATTATTGATCAAGCATTCTATTTGCAATCTTTGAAATTTGAATTTTAAGGCTGCGGAAAGTCGTTTGGAGTGTCAACGGAATAGTTTACCTGATTTATTAGTGCGTCCGGTGCAACGCTTACACTCAGTAGTCTTACTTCTTAAAGGTAATGATTATTCTATACTTTTGGTTGTCGAATACACGTTATTGTAATATGAAATTTTTCCCTAATCCTTCATTTTTTGCTTCCGAAGTTTGCTATTCTTTGACTTCTATAAAGTTTTTGCGTGATTGAAGGATAATTATTTTCCAGCTATTTTGGAAAAAACGGATCGCAAAAATCCGGACAATGCTTATTTGATTAAAGCGAAACGAGCCGTAGAAGCAGCCCTCACGTAATATTTAATTTATTGAAACCATTTCTCTCTGCAATTTTACTGAATTATATTTGAAAAAAAATGCAAAATTTTGTCTACTTACATACGAGTAATTAAAAATTTGAAAGCACGTTTTCTTTTTTGCAGAGAAGCAAACGAATCTCGCAGACAGACTGATTCTTATGCAATGATCTTCAAGTTATCTAGTGAAATTGACCGATGTCCTGTTAGTTTAATTACGATAATAATGTTAAAAGTAAACATGAGATTTCGGGTTCCATTTGGAGGAGAGGGAGAGAGTGTACGTTCGAGTCAAAAAAGATTCTGTGTGAGATGTTTCAAAAACTATTGTTGATCGTCAGATTCTCAATATAATATATGACAATTTAAAAGTTTTGATAGATTTAAAAGCATTTCTTTCAGAAGTATATTTAGTGTTTTTCAAAGTAGCCATATACATGTTACGAAGTTCAAATTAGTGTTACAGTTAGAAAATGGGATATGTTGAAATGATTTCAGGCTGATATATTATCAAGTGCTCGAACGTTAAAAACCGAATTGCATGTTTTATCATTGGGAGGTGAGGATGAATGGGCTAGAACTCGGAACAAGCGAATGGCCATATTTTTATTTAATGATTTGATAGAAATTGTTAAGGTAATTTTTGATTCTAAAACATAGATTCATGAGAAATTTATATGTTATTAACACCAAAATTTTTTACTTTTAAATTAAGAAGTACATTTTCAAGTGAACTTGGGGGAAAGAAAAAACGCTAGTATTGCAAACATCGAGTGCAATTTATATTGTTCTCTTAAGGTACGAACAGGAAATGATGATAGCAGCACTCCAACACGGCGCAGTTTCTCAAATTATTCCCTTACGAGACAGCTGTCCTTTTCTGTATTACGACATGGCAAGAAAAAATATAAGCATCATCAGCAGTATATGCTTGCCTCGATTCGTAGAATACAGAGTCTTGCACACGCTGGTATATTCTAATCTTTCCATATGAAAAGAAATTGGGAATGTTGTATTCATTATTTTTTATTCATCATATTAAATCCAAATGCTCTCCGAAAATTTTATGAAACGATAGACAAATTTAGATGTAAATGGTGTGTTCATTCTGTCATTCCGAGTTAGTCAAGGCGAAGATTTTTGGGTGGCGCAATGCTTAGAAAATCAGGAAGGAGATCTGGAAAAGTTCTTGCGTGAAGTTGCAGACCAGGCAAATTTTTTTCTTTTCTAAATTTAAATTCAAAAATTTCTAGGATTTTTTTTAAAGGTTTGTCTACATGTTTTATAATGGCTTAAGAGAGAGGTTATATTACATATCGTTAATTGATTTTTCATTTTTTTTAATCACAGGTGTATAAATTGGTAGGAAGGAATACATTGGTGGAAAAAGTGAACTTCGATGAAGATCCTTCGTCATTGGGTGTCAAGGAAAATATAGCAACTATCAAGAAAGCATTAAATCATGCGTAAGCAATTTCAGATTAAAAATCCCCAAAATTCCCATATAACAAATTAGCTTATAAAAACTGTTGTGATTGCTTTGATTCATTTATCCTTGAGTAAATGTAACAATTCACTGTAATGCGTAAGCGTCTTTTCAGAGTTCGAAATCCACCTGGAGGATCCCAGGCATTAGGAACTCCTCGTGCACGACAACAAAATCAGTTTAGACGTGCAATATCTACGGTGCACTTAGGTATATCGAATACACTGTCACGGTTACATTCCCGAAATAACCTTCGTCCAATCGACGAAAGCTTTGAAAGAGCATCACCAGACGGTGGAACGCAAACGGTCGGTTTCACCATGCCGACACGTTTTCGGCAGATGCTCTCCGCTTCTACATTCTTACCCTCACTTGGACGTCGTGATTCCATATTCTCACATTCTATAAAAGAGTAGTTTTTTGGAAAATACACTTTTACCACAGTATTTTTAATCGTATTTCTTCAAGATGAATCTGCGTTTTAGCATTGAAGTTTCAGCATTTTTGGATCGTATTGCATTTCAAATTTAGTCATAAGACCATACAGACCTTATTGCATGGTTGTTACTGTTGTTGAGATACAAATCTCTGGAAAGCTAATCTCAATTTAAGTTTTTTAGACTTCTTATCAATTCGAATTTGTATTTGTTTTTAGCATGTATATTTCTGTAGAATTATTGCCCATTTGAGATAAGGTTTTTGTTGTACAACGATTTGTTGCTACTAGATACTAATTGCATTACGGCGAATACAGCATCACATTTCGAATTCGTTGTTAGTTTGGAAATTAATTTTAAAATCTCTCACCCAACTTTATTACATAGTTTCATCTCTTTTCATTTAGTTCAGTTTTACTTTAAGATTTGTATATTTTGCAACTGGCTGAAAGATTTTCCTCTAAAAATATTGATCTTCCTTTAAAGATATGTATCAGTATTATTGTATGAATAGAAATATATGGTTCCAGTGATTCAGGAGTTAATTTGTTCAAGCGGTGTTTTTCCGATAATTACTTAACTTTATTTAATGACTCAAATGTCATACTTTCAGGATAAGTGCTACAAATATATTTTTAGAAAAGTTTATCGACTTGTAAAAGAAATATTCGTTTATTTAGGTAATTCCTTTTTGTAACAGTATTTACATTTATTAAATACAAAAGTGGAGATAGAATCAGGAATTCCTCTGCTGAGAACACAATGGCCTCTTCTGTGAATCCAACACTGAAAATTCGTCAATACCGATATGTTCGTTGTCATCCAAATTTTGGATCTCTACAGCTACCTGTAAAATAATTTTGTCTAAACGTTCGTAGGATCGAACTAGAAATATTCTCAAATTCAATGTTTGGATTAGTGCCTGAGTGTTGAATTCAAACAATGTAGAGATCAGACATATGGATGTTAAAAGTCGTCACAAGATTACTGTACCAAGATTCCGATCCTTACTACAAACTTTACATATTTCTTGAAGGATGTTTGTTTTTCTTGGTTCTTTCTGGATAATCAGAGATATCTTCAATATAATTAATAGTCTTAACAATCAGTACTGATGGATATACTGACGTAATCGTATATTCCCGCTTCTAGTGAAATCAGTTCTCGGTACCATCGTCTAGTCTTTTTTTTTTGTATTGGAGCCTATAAATATACTCATCATTTCTAGTAAAAAATAAAAAATTTGAATTTTTAAAGCGTGAAAATATACACTTCGGTGCAAAGCGAAAACAACCTGAAAACAGCAATTTTAGAGACAGTGGGTGAAACAAAGTAAGTACCGTGAAGACAATTTTTTCCATGGGTTTTTCTTTCATTTTGACAATAGCTCGGAGTTTGGGATTGTTTGAAGTTTTGTAATAAGCGAAAAGAAGGTTGAAATCAGTGGTGGATTGGAAAGGTGCCGTATGAAGACGATCCCTTGTTACAGGTCCTACGATGTAAATAAACGAACTAGCTGGAAAATATTTTTTCTTTTATTGCATAAAAAATGAAGTAATGCTTGGAAATGAAATTTTATAACTCTAAGGTTACGGAAGTGAAAAGAATTTACTTAACTTCAAATTGATCCGTTTGGTACGTCTAACAATGCTTCACATTTCAAATTGCTATCTTTAACTTTTCTTTTGAAAATTCCAGATTAACAGGAATTTATTTGACCTGGGCTATAAAACAGACTTGAAGCATTATTTTCTGTCCGGATTCCGTCAACAGTGGGACGCGCAATAGACCACATTGAATTCGAAGTATCTATGCCACACTGATCATCATCTTCGTTGAAAGTACACTGTAGTACATCACATACCGATTTATAAGCAGTAGAAATGATTTCCAGACCGGGATTTTCCGTTGGTTCACTTTCGTCATATATGACTTGCGATACGATGAAATCTTGCTAGAAATAAATTAAATCCCGAAAGTAATTAAAATTGATTGAACAGGAATGAAAGTTTGTAGAATACTAGAAGTAGACTACGACCTTAATTTTTTTTTTTGAAGCTAGAAGAAATTAAAATCAATATGGAAGGTCAACCAAAGACTAAATTTAGATTCAATAAATACAATTCTGACATTAATCGGAAGTATGGTAGCATCATAACACAGGTCGCCATAATACTCCAAGTTGTCAATAATGGCAAAACCGCCTTCCAAATTAGCAGAGTGGAATACGAAATTATCAGCTTGGATCAAAATCTACAACAAAGAAATGAAAATTTCTCTTGGAAGTGAAACGAAAGATAGAAGAAAATATGACTAGGTCTAAAATTTTAGCATTAAAGACACCGGGAAAATAATACCGAAACTACATTTTAAAGATAAAATTTCGCAATGAGATTTCGTTAGAGTGACTTCTTTTTTCTGTTGATCGGCGAAGCAAAATTTAATCGGAATTCATAAAGTTATAACATTAACAAGAATCAAGTGATAGAGCAGTGGAATAGCTCTGATTTCTGAAAAAAAATATTTAATAAAAACCTGGAATGGCTCATTTTCAAGATCATCAATGCTAAATTGTGCCGGACCTGGACTGCCTCCTCTTATCGGACTGCTACAAAAGTCAAAATTCGGATATGATTGGCTAATGCGCTTTATACATACTGTTAATCTTACTTCTGGACTTATCCAATACCTGAAATCATGAATATAATTTAACAGGCAAAATAGTATTGTCAAATCAGTTAGTTATAACTCTTGAATAATTTCTAACTTCACGTGACTCTCTACCTACTTGTTCATTCCGTCTCAAAATTTTCAATAATAATGGTTTTTTAGACTTATTTTTTTTAAAAACTGAAACTGCAGACAAGATTAATGCTATGCGTCATTATTTTTTCAATTTCTTTTCTCAAACTCTCTCTAAAATTTATCCGGAAATGTACGCTTACATGAATCGCAGTTCTCCCAGTCCAAGCTGACAGGCTATCACATCGCTAATTAATGTCGCTTTCAAATTCGGAGCCTGAATTTGATCTGTTACCACAATGCCATAACTTCCATCAGGTGTAATATGTGTTCCGGTTGATACCTATGCAAATCATTCTATGATAATTAATTAGGATGTAATAAATTCACGTTCCCTCGGATTATTTTATGAAGTATTCTTAAACTTCTTGATTCAACTTTAATCATTTATCCGATATAATACTCATTAAAATTATTGAATGAACCAATTTTTTGAGTCCACTTAAATCATATACAACTATACTAGCTTTATAAAAGATATAGTTAACATTTTACACACAAAAAAATGCATGTCGATTACATTTTAATAATTTTTTTCAATTAAATTTTGAAATTCGAATTTCTAAAAGTTAAGAGGTGTTCATTTTTTTCTAGCATTTAAATCAGAAAAGTAACAAAAGAGTAATTTAAACCTGCAAACGATTGTGATCTAAAAAGCCATTGCCGCGATACCAATTTAAATCATCATTCGTAAATAAACCATCTAAATTATGCCATCGGCAATTGGAATCGAAATCATAGCAAAACAAATCGCTTGTTCCATCAATGGGTCTATTTTCCATTGTATTACCTATTCATTTCCTTGATTACTGGCCCTGTTTATAATTTGATGCTAAAGGTCAACAAATTTAAAGACAGAAGTAAGGAAATAAAGAACAGGCAATATATATACTGTATTCTAAGTAATAAACTATATACTTAAAATTTCTGTATATTCTAATTATTGATGCGTGTTTCTGTTATCATTTTTGCACTGATAGATTAAACTTTCTGATACATTCTCTTTCTTTGTGTAACAATTAGAAAGATTTTTTATTCACTAAGTATAGAAATTCGAGAAATGCAAGATTATCACTTACTGATACTGATTTGTTGCGATTTGAGTGTATTTTCACCAAGAGTATAGTGTGATCGTAATGCTACATTTTGCGCAATTGTATCGTAATCGAAAGGTGTGCAACCATAGGCTAAAATAGTGACATTTGCATTTCATAATATGTGAATTGGATGTTTTGATTTCTACTAGAACTTTCTACTTCTACTAGAAATTATGATAGTTCGAATAATTTTGAAATTTATATTTAAAAAGCAAGTCGAAGCAAATTTTGATTGATACATTTCTGGTGATACTAGGACATTTTGGATGATGGAAGATTTCTTTTTTTTCTAAAAATTTAAACATGAGAAACTCTTGTGGTACCAAAGAAGTTCAATAATAGAATGTAGCTAAATAATTGGACGATATGTAAAATTTGTACTAAAAATATTAATCAATCCATTCACGATTATAATTTCCAAAAATACCTGAATAAGCAAAAATTAGAAATATAACTATCAAGGACATTCTTCTCGGCAACGACTACCTATACCGCTATTACCAGGTAACATTATTTACCGAGACACTCCATTGACCACGATTGGACGGTGACAAGTGTTTATTATAATCGAAATTTGCTATGTAAACAATCTAATATCCTCCATATTCCATCAATCTCGTCTATTTCAATAGAAGGTGACACCTTCCCTCATCAGTATCTTTTTTTTCGATCTTAATGTCCACATCTAAAGAAAGTTCTATTAACCATAGTCCCGTTTCTAGCAAATAATAATTAGTTCCTTGTGGGAAGTGATAGTAGCAGAAATAATTTTAAACTATTCATGTAAATCACGTAAATTCATGTAAATTTTATCAAAAAAAAAAGCATTTCGAAAGATACATATTTCCATTTCATACTATTGATTAATTTTCAGACCATATTTTTTGTACGAATAATTTTTTAGACCATATTTTTGAAAACTTTATTATTTTAAAATTTGCTTCTACTTTATCATCTGAAGCATTGAAGGATAAGTTCGGCTTGTTATTGAAAACCAAATTACAGCATGTATTTATGAATAGCAAGTTGGAGTGATGTTTCGAACTATGAATGAATATAATCATTCATTAAAATCAGAGAAATGAAAATATTTGATCATGCATTGAAAAATATATTTTTTTTT